CTTCCACAGGATGTGTTTTTTCCCGTCTTCCTCTCCTCACCCAAAATCAGTTGGGGCAGATGGCCCCGCCCCTCTGTGAGCCTGGTTCTGCTGGAGGTTTCTTCCTGTTAAAAGGGAGATTCTCCTTCCTGTGGCCAGGAGCTCGTTCTTAGGGGAGGTCAACTGTGTTCTCTTTTCTATGAAGAGTCAGCTCATGTTTCCCTGCTTTAATGTTTTCAAGATGAAGACGCCGCAGTAGGAACTCTTTGGTTTACATTAGCGTCAGCAGTAACTTATTTGCTTCTTTCTAGTTGTGTTGCTTTTGACAAACAGATTGTACTGCCGCAAATATAAAAGCAATCGTTTCATCAGTGAGCTTAAGGTTTAGTTACAGTTGTGTTACTTCTAGAGACTTGAAACAAAAATCCTAGAAACTGTTACTTTAAACCTTAATAAAGCATAAAACTGTAAATGTTACTATTGAGAATAGTAACATTTCAGTGACTGCAATCTTGGTTTAAATCTTTATTTATTTAATGAACGAAACCACTTGTTTTAATTGGGTTATAGTTTTTGTAGTGTCAGAATGTTTGTTGTCCTGTCTCAATATAACTACAGTGAAACAGAAAGTACAATATGTTTCAGTTTCAAGGTTTGATATATCAAGACATTAATCTCGTAGGTCTGTTCTGAACTATCCCCATATATCATCATACGGCCCTCAGTAGATTCTAAAATTATTTAAAGTCAGATGCACAACAAAACGTGACATATTATACTGTGCTATTATTTATCAAAAACTAAGCAAAGTGCAGAAGCAGTGTGTGAAAAAAGTACACCCAGTGATTCAATACACCTTCAGTAACAACTTCCTGTGCAGCTTTATCAGTCTCTCATATTGTGATGGAGGAATTCTGGCCCATTGAAGTTTTTGAACATTAGTTTATACATAAATAGTGTGTGAATGTGAGAGTGAATGAAGAGTGGAACTGTAAAGCGCTTTGTAAAAGCAATCCATTATTAGTGTTATTATTATAAATCTCTTGGCACAGCCTTTCAGTGAGGAGTTGTGGCGTTACGCTGGGCCGATTCGAGACCTTTGTTCCCATCTTCTGTTGAAGGAATACTTCATTTTCACACGCTGCTTATGCATTTTAGTTCAATTTGCACAAAATAAACAATGATATAGTGTAATATGTCATCTGATGACATTTATGTCTTTCACGTCTACATATCTTCTACATATCGTTTTACGTTCAGAAACATCCTATTGTCATTGAATAATTGCAGCATTTAAACATATATAATTGTAACTTATTCTACAATTCTCATAAATATAAATGATTATCATTTGATGATACAAAAAATAAGGATATCAGCTTTAAACCTGTAGTGTCATCTGATATATGAGTCAGTATTATAACTACATGTTTTTCCATGTAGGTCAAAATTGAATTCGACATGAATTCCATAAGATGGCAAATCTCTGATTAGCCTGAACTAAATAAACAATGTCAGAGGTTGTAGGAAGTCAAAAAATATATATATATATATATATATTATCATGAGTCACGCTTCAGAAAATGGTCAACACGTTTCTGTGTGTGATTTGTATTTGAGTGCACATCCAGCATATAGTCTCTAAACCCCTCCCTTATATAATAATTTACTTTAAAATGAACCCTTTAAAAAAGGAAATTATCATTATTATTGTTAAATTCATGGCTTAGCTTTTATCTGTTACTTTCATTTTTATCACACTGGTTGATTATGGGTGAAATCCATTGCATAGGTTGCTAAAACCTATGTGGAGCCACAGGATAAGAAAGTAAAGTCACTAGAATAGCAGTTATCTGAAGACCACGAGAATTTCCTGAAGATCCTACATTATACTGCAACAACTACCCTAAGGAAAGATATTTTTCTGTTCATAGGCCAAAGACGACTTCATCCTGGTAATAACTGACAAACCTTTGTGATAATCAAATTAAAGAGAAGAAGGAGCCTAAATATCCAAAAGCAAGTTTGATGCAGCCAAGATCCCCCAGATAATCAAAACATCAGAAGAAAATGAAATGCTTAAATCGATAAATACTGTCTCCAAAGGTAAAACCCATCGAGACTTGCTGGGATGTACGGTCTTAAAGTACAACCTATTTTTGAGCCAAACTTTCCTAAATGTGCTGTATGTACAAAAACACTATTTAACATTTTATTTAATATTATTAAATAATAATTAAGAGTCAAAGAGATTTTATTCTGTATAGTTCAGTAAAAACTAGAGAAGAATAAGGAACCCTATGACAGAATGTAAATGCATCTTTAGCCAAACCCTGCAATCACAAACTAATATTATATGATCCAAGTTATTTTTTCTCTACCCTGTTTGATAAAACAATTATTGTTGCAACATTTTTGGCATTTTTCATAAGAACAACTGGACAATTAACTGAAAATGCTTCTCAGATTTGATCTAGTTAGACATGTTGAGTCAGAAGTTTATGTTTGTCTCTAGCGCAGTCTCATCAGTGAGTGATGCTCAATGAAGGATTAGCACAATATTTGTTACTGGTTGTTGGCCTTTTTCATGGAAAAAATGTAACCTGCTTATTTGCACACTGAAGGTTTTTAATAGTTTGCAGTAAAAACATTTAAGAAGCCCTTTTAGTTGCCATCTTATGAAATTAACTGAAAGAAAAAAAGGAAAATGGAAAATTTACAACAGAGAACAGAATCACTTGATAAATTCTCTAAACAAACCAGACAGACAACAGCCACACGAAGAAAAGAAAAGGAAAGAAAAAGAAGAAAAACACCGCGTTGAGTGAGAAAGATGACCACTGATGATGATGCAACCACAAAAAATGGCTTCCAACGTAAACAGAAATGCAAACAAAACAACCAAGTTTGTGTAATTGCAGGCGCATGGTATCAGTCAAAACACATGCAAGAAACGATCTTCCTGAAGTCAATGATTTTTAGAGTTTATCATACCATGATAACAATGATCGCTTAAGAAAAGAAAATGAAGAAAGCAGAATTTGTGGCAAAAAGTCCTTTTTTGCCATCAGCACCAAAACATGTTCAAATGTAAAGCAGCTTTAGAAAGGAAGTCAAAGCAGGACGGCAGACTGGTTCTGCCGTCAGTCTCGTGTGGAACTCGGTATGTTCAGGATTAAAACGTTGATGGCAAGAAAAGTTTCTTTTTTCTGCCTTCGTAGCTGCTTTGAAATAATAAGGTGATGTGTGTGTGTTTTCTTTTTTCTTTTTTTTTTAACAGCTGGAAACAGTTGTCACCCACCAAAACGTCATGCCACACATGATGAGGCCAAAATACAAAAATGCATTTTTAGACAACTGGCGAAAAGGCGGGAATGAAGTCTTGGCAACAAAACTTTAAAAAATGCAAAACAACCAGAAAAAAGCATCGACTTAGAAAAAGGAGCAAAAGAAAAGTAAAATCAAAGCATGCAGCTGTCAACGTCAACGTGATGTCCGGGTTAGAATGATGTGAATTTCTGTGTAAACATATGATTGGATGACTGGAGCCCTGTCTTTGTCTTTCTTCACAAATCCCCATGGATCTCACCCTGGACCTGACCGTTTTAAACCCATTTAACAACAATATTTCACATACTCTGAAAAAATTTGGGAATGACCTTCAGTAAGGGCATATGTTGTGATGAACATTATCTTTCCGGATTAGGAATCACACTATATCCATTTCCCTTAAGGGAACTTAAGAAATGGCGTAAATGTTTCTTTATCACACTATCACCTCCAACATTTGTGATTTGATAGATATCTCGACTGTTTTGGAATTCGAATATTTTAACATGCAGTTCACACCCATAGCTCCACTTTGGTGGCATTACGTTTACTATTTGGGTGAAAATCAACCTTCGCATCAACGATTGTGCTGTAAATGAGATACAGAACCTCCACCTATTTACATCCACCAGATGACCTGTTTGGGTGTTAAAGGTAGAGTCAGGTTTAGTGTTACAATAAATCTTATCACAGAAACACTTTACTTGAAAAGCAACGTCTTTTCCATTTCTGAAAATACTTTTTGGTGTGTGGCTAAGATGTAGCTTACCCCAACTCCTGAGTGACCTGGTGGATGTTCCTGTGATCATATTAAAGCTAACAACTTTCAACTTTTTATCTACCTAAGAAATACTATGCTTTTGTGCCATAGCAAAAATATATCTGTTAACTGTCCACTACAAAAACTGAAATATGGAAATTCCCAAACTCTTTCAATTTGAGTGTTAAGTTATCGCAACATTTTATTTATTTAGTCGTTTATTTTAAATATTTAGGTACAAAAAAGACAGAATAACAAGTACACCTAAAAGCAAAAGTGTAACCCAAAAAAAGAAAAACCTGTACACAGAAATTCAATGATATCTGTTCTCTAGCACATGTACCAATGCAAGCCTCTAAATCTGGGAAAGCACAAATAGAAACCAAAATTAAAATACATTGATGTAAACTAGACAACACTTTAGCTGAACACAAAATTTAAAACCAAAAACTGTTCAAATGTACTGTTTGAAACTTAAAATCAATAGAGCAATGAATGGCAGAAGCAATGGACTCAAACATGATGTTATAAGTTCAGCATCAGTACAGAGAACATGGTTCACCATCATACAAACTCGGCATACTGGTGATGACATGGACTAACCCTCATTTTTCCCCTTAGCAGACAACAATTGAATGTACATTGGTGACCATGTTGACTACTTTGTATAACCCCATGTGCAAGTGTAGCTCATGACCTTGATAAATTAGCACTGTGCTAAATTAAGATTCTGAATGTACAAATACATTTGAATACCCAGTTTTCTTACATTAAGTATTGCTGAGGAATTGGGCTTAGCTTACTGTTACCACCTTGGCCATTTATTAAGATACACTTTGACTGACCATGGGGGCGTGATGCTTTAAGGATACCTCGATCCTCTATTGCAGATGAGTGACAGCACATAGAAAGCAAGCAAATGCAAACTAACCTAGCCCACCTGTACGGCTAGTTTCACACTCCTCCTCATCTTCATCATCACTCGAACACTCGGCAGATGACCCAATGTCCTCTTGGTGCTTCAGGGCCAGAATGTTGGTCATCAGAGACACAATATCCATAGCAAATATACCAAAACAGCAAAGAGCCACCAGAAGACACAAAGTAGCGCATAAAGAGAGGAGAAGAATATTTAAGACAAGTTAGAAAGTGAATGCCAATCACAGGAGCACAACAACGAGCAAAAGATCTTAAGTCAAGGTTCATCGTTTTTCAGAGCTTTCAGTTTGTTATAGTTTTTTTCATGGCTCAGCTGTTATTTACACTATTTTGTTGGTGGCGTTCTAATTAATATGGTCTTTGGTGTTGAACGCAAATACCCTCTTTCATACTTCTCCAAACATCTACTGTCTCCCAAATTTATTTGGACTTTTGATGACTTTAGGGTCTGCCCTGTCTATTGAATGCTTTGGAGTTATGCTAAGTCTACACTGGGTGCAAAGTCCTCTGCTATTAGGTCAGGCAAAGTTGCTAAATGTTATTTACTTTCTGTAGGCTCTGGGTGTTATGTACCACATATACGCAGAATGACCTCAGCTGGTGGTTCCACACTTGAACCTTTCTTCTGTTGCCTGCTTGCCGGGTAATATAACTTCGGAACTGGTTCAGTGCTAGGACCAATTCTGTTTACATTATACATGCTTCCCTTAGGCAGCATCATTAGAAGACATAGCATACATTTACACTGCTATGCTGATGACACCCAGCTCTATCTGTCCATGAAGCCAGATAACACACACCAATGAGTTAAACTGCAGGAATGTCTTAAAGACATAAAGACCTGGATGGCCGCTAACTTTCTGCTTCTTAATTCAGATAAAACTGAGGTTATTGTACTCGGCCCTGAAAATCTTAGAAATATGGTATCTAACCAGATTCTTACTCTGGATGGCATTACCTTGGCCTCCAGTAACGCTGTGAGGAACCTTGGAGTCATTTTTGACCAGGACATGTCCTTCAACGCACATATTAAACAAATATGTAAGACTGCTTTCTTCCATTTGGCAACATCTCTAAAGTTAGAAATATCCTGTCTCAGAGTGACGCTGAAAAACTAGTTCATGCATTTATTACTTCCAGGCTGGACGACTGTAATTCATTATTATCAGGAAGTCCTAAAAACTCCTGAAAAGCCTTCAGCTGATCCAAAATGCTGCAGCAAGAGTCCTGACAGGGACTAGAAAGAGAGAGCAGATTTCTCCTGTTTTGGCTTCCTGTTAAATCCAGAATTCAAAATCCTGCTCCTCACATACAAGGTCTTAAATAATCAGGCCCCATCTTATCTTAATGACCTTGTAGTACCATATCACCCTATTAGAGCACTTCGCTCTCGCTCTGCAGGCCTACTTGTTGTTCCTAGAGTATTTAAAAGTAGAATGGGAGGCAGAGCCTTCAGTTTTCAGGCCCCTCTTCTGTGGAACCAGCTTCCAGTTTGGATTCAGGAGACAGACACTATCTCTACTTTCAAGATTAGGCTTCAAACTTTCCTTTTTGCTAAAGCATATAGTTAGGGCTGGACCAGGTGACCCTGAATCCTCCCTTAGTTATGCTGCAATAGACGTAGGCTGCCGGGGGATTCCCATGATGCATTGAGTTTTTCCTTTCCAGTCACCTTTCTCACTCACTATGTGATTAACAGACCTCTCTGCATTGAATCATATCTGTTATTAATCCTCTGTCTCTCTTCCACAGCATGTCTTTTATCCTGTCTTCCTTCTCTCACCCCAACCAGGTCACAGCAGATGGCCGCCCCTCCCTGAGCCTGGTTCTGCCGGAGGTTTCTTCCTGTTAAAAGGGAGTTTTTCCTTCCCACTGTCGCCAAAGTGCTTGCTCATAGGGGGTCATATGATTGTTGGGTTTTTCTCTGTATCTATGAAGCTCCTTGAGGCGACTCTTGTGATTTGGCGCTATATAAATAAAATTGAATTGAATTGAATTGAATAGATGTTGTAATGTACAGATGATCTGAGTTCAACTGAAAGGCTCTGCAATAGAACCTTGAGTTGAGTTTTTTTGGTTTGTTTTTTTTTTTTTTTTTACTAATAAACAAAACTCATATAAACATTTGAAAAATAGTAGTTCTACCAATATTATCTAAGGGTTCCTAACATTAAATACATTCAGATGGTTTTACATTTAATATCAAAGAGCAGCTATTCCATTTGCGTCAGCTGACATAAACCCAAGCATGGCAGTAAGAGCAACAAGCAAAGAGTAGTTCGGCTGTTATCCTTGCCCCAATTTCTTTTTTAATCTTTTACACCTAAATTTGGCACAAAAGACTCTGGAATCTACCAAACCATGCCAAGCTGTGAATGCCCACGTCTTTAATATTGTGTAATGGTAAACAGATACTTTTAACATAGGTTAACTGACAGATGAGCTCTTTGCATTAATGCAGTTTTAACTTTTATTTCTATAGTGCTAAATCATCACAAGTCATCTTCACAGCAGTTGCTCTGAATCATATTAAATCATTAATTCTTTTTCATCAGAAGAAAAATCCTTTAAAAATATTCAATATTTAAAAATATTTCATATTCTAAAATCTGTCAAGATACTCCAGTCGGTCTTTCCCTTCTCTACCTAAAACGGGAACAGCAGATACACAAGCGAGATAATCTGATACTACAACACAGCAATGAGACATTCACTTTCAGCTGCTACTACTTTGTATTAGGTTCAGATAACGTGTAAAACCTTTGAAATTGTATCCAGACTATAAGCTGCACATAAAGCATGAATATATATTCGAGTCTGTAAAGTAAAGCCGGTGGAAATGCAATAAACCTACATTCTTTTTAATGACCAGTAGGCGCTGACTCTTCTGGTTTCAAAAACATTAATAGTTGTATGATATCTATGGGAGGTGGGCTTTTGACTTTTTTGCTCTGTGGCCTCAGTTAATATTTTCCTTATGCACTCCAAGTTTTCTTCTTCCAGCTGCACCTTTTAGTGGTTGCCCCAGTGTGTTCACCTGCCTGTTTCATAGTTATATTGAATCTACCTTTTTAAAAATTATGGTCATTATTGGAGTTAGACACGACTGCACTGCTATAGTCGCTCGTCAATAAGCATTAGATTTTTTTAATAAGCATAAATAGAAGCAGCTTGCAAAGAGTTGGCTGGCGGTAGGTGGCAGACTGCTGCCTACATTCTACTCTAACTGCTAACTTTAGCCACCATTTGCATCCTTTTTGGCCTCATAGAGCCATGCTTGCATAAACCAACGGATTATACCAATACATTTGTAGTCAAACCCATATTACAGCAACTGCTGCAGGACTGCAAGGTATGTAAAACCTTTTTTATTCCTTAAGTTATATTTAGCACCATGTCACTTGTAGTTATTAATCTGTTACACACTGTCAACTTACACCACTAACAGAGTAGCTAACAGCAAGTTAGTAGCTAATGTTAGCTTAGCTAATAATACTTAGAGTAGTTCTAAAAACTAAGGTTGCATAAAAGTGATGCTGTAATAAGCTGATCATTAATATTGTAAATATGGACAGACAACTAGATGTGGTTTGTTATACTTTCAAATAAGACATAGTCACCAAAAAATAAAGCACTCCAGTTTTCAACAGTTTAGGGTGGAGGTTTAGTACACTCAGAATATAGCTATCCACCCCCAGCTAGATCTATGGATGGCAGTGCAGGGCGGTGGTGTTGCACCCCCCCACCCTGAATTGCACAAGCAGGGGAAGATGGATGGCATCTTATTTTTGTATACTGGACATTTTAAAAATGTGCTCCACTTTCTTTCCTTCTTTCCTGAAATAGATTGACCGTATTATGTGTTGTCATCCATGTGAAAGAGCGTTATCTAAACTCCAATACGAGTCTAATGTAATCATATGTGTTATTCTTTTAAACTGAATTATTTGCATTTTGCACAAGTGTTTCCAGTTCATTACTTATTTCCTGATGCTTGTTTTAATTTACGATCATGACCATGGTATTAAATTCCTGCTTGTTACACAAAAGCTTCCACAGGTGTTTCCTGGTAGTCATTACTATTCTTTAAGTTTGCTTTAAAAGGTTATTACATGGTTATTAATATATTATTAAATGGAAACAGGCAGTTATGCATTTTGCAGCGCTGTTTCCTGCTTATTACACAGAAACTAATAGCAATATTTCCAGGTAATAATCACACTTCTTTAAGTTAGCCTTAATGGGTTATTCATATGTAATTAATTGGAAACAGGTACTTTGCATTTTGCAGCTGTTTCGTGCATATTACACAGAAACGACCATGGGTAATTGAGTGTTAATAACCACATAATTGCATTCTTGTTTCTTTCCTGATACCTTACTATTACCACTTTATTACCGAGCTGTATTTCCACATTATTACCCTCAGTTTTTGGGCTCTTATCATCCAATTACATAAATTTGCATGTAATATTACTCAGTGTGAACACTGTTGCTACCAGACTAATATTACTTGGATACTAAGTGGTTATTACTTTGGCAATTGCATGGTAAAAGCTTAGAAATTACCACATTATTACGTTCTTGTTCCGCTTTGTTACCCTACTATTACCACTTTATTACCGAGCCGTAATAGAAAGTGCAACCAAATGTTAATGCATCAAATCATGAAGGTTGAAGAACAACAAATATGACTGTTGCTTCCTGTATGTATAGTCATAAGAACATACATACCTGTACAGTTGAGGAAGATCTGTGTTTCCGTGTGGTCGTAGTGGACATCATGGTAGTAGTCTCAATGAAGGACGTTGTCATCTCTGGAGACATGGCTGTGGTCCTGGCTGAACCTGCCACACTAGGTACATCGCCTACCAGCCTTACACTGCCATTAATCTTGATGTTTGGGTTGCCTTCAGCTGCCATGTTCAACACCTTTAGGCCATTGTAATAAAGGCCCGAGAGCTGACCTTGAAAGGGCCGGCCACGATCACTACCACCAATTGCCACTGTTGCTTGTGTGTTGAAAATTGTTAACTGCCGCCCTAGAGAAGACATCCAGAGTAAGATATTGTCAACAAAGAAAGGACCTTTGAATAAAACAAAAATGCAAACACCCAGGTGCAGTGCCACTAAAACCCAATACTAAGCAAACTGCAACAGTGCGCACAGTAGCCAACCTCAAACATTACACTACACATATTTAGCTGTTGATTCCACCTTACAATGACAAAAGTAATTCATTTATCTTGACAGTGTGAAGGACAATACATAATGTATTCCTTTATTAAAACTGAATGATATTATATGTACTAAACTGAAACATAGATTTCTCACACAGTGGCATAAAACTGCATGATGAATTTTACCAACAGAACATAAAAAGAACCATTAACAGCACATCATTTGATGAAAATAAATTAGTAAGGAATGAATCAGATGTGCTTGATCTCACTACTGCGTAGTGGAGACGCTGAAAGGCAGATGTGAGCTGCATAAGTGCAGAAGTTGTAGGGAGATGACATCTCCTCTGTGGACGAAGTTTGTGTACACACTCGCTAAATTAAAAACACAACCTTCACAGTTATTGCTGCTCTGTTTCTATAACTTTCAGTGACATTGCTTTTGTACAAATTTATTCACTTATCTAGTTCTTTGGTGAGTTCTCATTTTTAAGCAGTGTGTGGGTTCACATTCATGTTCAGAGGTTTTCATGTTATTGTAGAGGTTACAGTTAACTTTACATTAGCACAATCAGATACATCAGGTTGATTTGAAATTACCTTTCTCTTGTAGCCATTCTTCTACTGGTCTGGCAAATTTAAAAGGAATTTTCTTATTGGCCATCTGATAGCGTTCAATGTCGCTGTTCCCTTTAAAGTTTAAAAACACATGTATTAAACACAGATCGATGACCGGAGTCACATCATGAAGGAAATATCAATTTCTAGCTACATTTACAAAATAAATCTGAATTTAGCAGAAACATTCATTTTGGTTGAAACGGTTGTTGGTTAGAGGATGCACAGGGCTCATCATCTTTGGCTCTTTGGCTGTTACCAAACATTTTGTTTACAATCCTGACTTTTTTCTTCTTCACATTGTGTAGAGCAGTGTCTCCGACTCCAGTCCTTCAGAACTGCTGTCCTGCAGCTTTTAGATGCATCCTTGTTCCAACACACCTGAATCAAATGATTGGCTTGTTATCAGGCCTTTGCCCAACTTGATGGGATGCTAAAGAGGTCATCTAAATATACCTGTTGAAGCAAAAATGTGTGTGTCTGGTATATATCCAAAGAACTGTGACTTTAGCACCAGACAGCTAAAATTAATTGACTTTGGCCTCCTGCAAGCTAGGCGCTTAATATCTTTGTATTGGAAGAAAGTGGATGTACTCTCAAGTCATATGTGGGTGAAGGAGATGGCATCATGTATTGTATTGGAACGACTTACTTATATTGTCAGAGGAAAGGGAGTAGATTTTGAAGAAATATGGTTACCTTTAACTGAGTTTCTGAGACATTATGAAGGGAATTAATTTAGAAAGTGATACTTGGTGCTGAGTTTTGGGTTTCTTTGTGTGTGTGTGGGTTTTTTGTTGTTTTCTTTGTTGTTTTCTTTGTTATCTGTTTCTTTGTTTTTATTGTTTTTATTTTTCGTTTGTTTTACCCATGCTGTGCATCGGTTTTGTTTTATTTTATTATTTATTTATTTTTATTATTATTGTTGTTGTTTCTTTTAATTTATATTTGTTTATTTTGGGGACTATGTTCTTTAATATAAATCTCATGTTAACTGTATTATTATTCTTTGCTTGTTCTGTAATATAAAAGTCAATAAACATAATGTTTAAAAAAAAAAAAGAAAAAAAAGAGGTCATCCAACCATTTGATCCAGCTGTGTTGGAGTAGGGATGCATCTAAAAGCTGCAGGACAGTAGCTCTTGAGGACTGGAGTTGGAGACTCCTGGTGTAGCGTATGCACTGATGTCACATTTAATGCAAGATTAGTTTTCTTACTATGGAAATCATCACAAACACTTTAAAAACTTGCCTAATCCTATGTGTTCCGAATACCAAGTTATATTCTAATGAAACTGTACAATCCCTCCTACCAGTCAGGTTTGCCTACCTGGTAGGTAATGTCTTAGGGGTCACTTTTTCATGCAATGAAATTCATTCATTATCACTTTTTGTCACTGGATGTATCTTCACATACCTCTTTTAACAGCCTGTGACGTGAAGAACTCAGGTAAAATTTCCTACAAAGGATGTAATAGTCAAGCTTGCTCCAGAGCAACTTGCCTTACTCCTTTTACACTTACAACATCAACAGTAAGTAACACTGCCAAACATTACATTAGAAATTGATAATAATCAATCACTAAAATTCAACAAATGATCATCTGTAGACATGAAAGACTAAATGGGGAAAAACTGGTTATTTTGCAAGTCAAAATGTTGTTAAGCAAGCAAGTTGAGATGAACCTGATAGCTGTTATGTAATAGCTAGCCATTTAGTTACACAGCATGTACAGTATCTGTTTGCTCTGTTGTCATGACTGATACTCACATATACAGTAAAGTGGGATTTTATGAAAGTCTCAACACTATTTAGGCCCATGCAAACTCAGGCACATTTAAGATTACAACAAGCTGTGTGGAAATGTGAACAAGACTTAGTGCTGCTGCCCTTTCTCTTCCACTGCTTCTTGCAGGTGACAGCAAGCAGTGTCTCATCTTAAACAATCAAGAGTCAGTGTTCAGAAAGCCAGTGAGCCTGATGGCATACCTGGCAGATTGCTAACAGATTATGTTTATCTTGACTGACATTTTCAGGCTTTGACTCAGTCAAGTGTACGATCCCAGGTTAAAAAGGCTACATTTCTTGAATGACCATAGACTAGTTGGACTGATTTCTGTGCTTGAAAAACTACGTCACTCAGCAGCCGTGTGTCATCATTGAAAACGAGTTCCCTTAGGTTATGCAGAGCTCATTCAAAGTTCTTAAAATGATCACGCTCTTCTCTGACAATATTAGCTTGCCCCAAATCTTCATTAAATATACAGCACATATGATGTTTACACAGAGAAATCCTCAAACTGCCTTCCCACTTCAGTAGCTGATGTGCATGTTTGTGTTTATTCCAACTTTCTCCACATGTATTTGTTGCTGTGATACCAGAAGACTTTTTAAAATAAAATGTTTCGATCTTTTCATCACTTTCTATACATTTTCACTAGGATTTGTAAACGTTTTCCTCTTGTACAGGTATAAATAGTCCTGTTATCTAAAAGTAACCCAGCACCCAAAGCACAAAAGGGTGCCATATTACAATTGTGAAGTTGGATCTTTCTGAAAAAATAAACTTAACAGACTTTTGGAAATTATCTTTAATAATATTGCTTCTATTTTTTCACCTTCACTGTTCGTCTGTTACAAATCTTCAACATCTCAGTTCGACTTGACTCAATTTTAAATTGTATGATTCATCAAATGCACACTCTCTGTGGCTAGACCAAGCTTATTTAACTGATATGAACAGTGCTTTCATTCAGTCATGCTAAAATTACATTTTAGTGACAATCAAAATTATTAGATATATCTTCACCGTATAAGGTAACAGATATTTCTATGCAGCCAATGCCAAAGAGGATGAGCCCGAGTAAAATGAAAATTTTTCAAAAGACTTCTGGGCTGTCATTAATGTAAAACAACAAATTAAAACAGCATAAACCACAAAAAAGGGCCGATCCAAACATAATGTGTAGTTCACTGGGCAGTAGAGGTGCAGCGGATCACGGTTGATCCGTAATCCGATCCCACTCCACGGTTCGGTGCGCGCGGTCAGTCTGTCAAGCGATAGTTATGGTCAGTGCTAGCGGTCCAAGTAGAGGAGCGGAGGAGTTTTCGGTATTTAAGCAGCCCTTTGCTGCCCAGTCCGACCGGGCTAAAGCTAAAGCTATTACAGAAGCTACTGGGGTGTTTAGCTGCAGACCTTGTGCAAAACAAGGGGTTTAAACTATGACGACCGTGCTTGAGCCACGCTATGATATCCCGTTCGTGTCCACTTCAGTGGCAAGATCGTTCCAAGCATGTATGAGCAGGAAAAGATTTAAGTTATGGCTGAACTGTCCCAGGCATCTTCTGTTGCCCTAACTGCTACAAACGGGCGGAGCTCCAGGGCAACGGAAAGCTACGTGACCGTGACCGCTCGTTATATCACAGCGATGTAATGAGCGGTGTGTATTATTGTAGGGTCTACCTTACAATATAAAGCGCCTTGAGGCGACTGTTGTTGTGATTTGACGCTTTATAAATTGAATTGAGTTGAGTGGTAGACACAACTGTACTGCCCTATTATATTTTTTTAATAATTGTATGGAATGAGTCTTGAGTTGAATGTTTTTAACAGGCAAAAAAAACTTCAATAAGTAAATAAGTAAATGTTACATTTTTGTCTTTTTTCTTTTTTTGCTGATCCGAACCGTGAGATTTTTGATCCGTTGCACCACGACTGGGCAGCATGTGTAATTATGGACATCATATTTTAAAACTACACAGGATTATGTAAATGACGGTTTAAAATGAGGACTCTTAGCGAGAGATTTGCAGTATGTCAAATCTATCTTGTTCATTTACAAACAAGCTGTCATTCTCAAAAGTGAAGGGTGAATTGGCCACTGTGGGGTGGGAATTAGATTCTGGAGGAGGACATCAAATCATGGGTCTTATCCATGATCGGGGGAAGAACAACGTGGATCATGGACAGATGGATGGGTACAGCTTCTGTTAAGCAAAGCTACTGCTCTGTGTCTACTTTCACTTATGGCCATGGACTCTGTCTTGAGACTGAAAGAAAGAGAAAGAAGACACAACCAGCAACAATAGGCTTACTGGTGAGGATGCCTGGCTTTCCCTTTGACATGCATTATATTGCCAGAAGTATTCACTCGCCCATTTAAATCATTGAATTTAGGTATTACAATCGTTTCTATGGCCACAGGTGTATAAAATCAAGCACTTGCAGACTTCGTCTACAAATATTAGTGAAAAACTTGGTAACTTTTAAGAGCTCAGTGAATTCTAGCATGGTAATGTGATAGGGTAGCACCTTTGCAACAAGGCCAGACGTGAAATATTCTCAGTACTAAATATTCCACAGTGAACTGTTAGTGATACGGCAAAAATGGAAGCAATTGGGAATGATAGCAACTCAGTCACAAAGTGGTAGTTCACGTAAAACTGGAGAGTGGAGACAGCAGATGCTGAGGGGCATAGTGCACAGAGGTGGCAGAGTCAGTCGATACAGACAACCAAACTTCATGTGGCCTCCAGATTAGCTCAAAAACAGTGTAGGGAGAGGTTCATGGCCAAACAGCTGCGTCCAAGCCATACATCAGCGGCCCCCAACCTTTTATGCGCCAGGGACCGGTTTATGTCTGACAATATTTTTATGGACTGGCCTTTAAGATGTTGCGGATATATACAACAAAATAAAACCAGTACCGGTACTGAAGAAAAAAAGAAGATTTATTCAACACACACGGGAAAAGACTGTACTGTCAGACACTAGTGCACAAAGCATAAAGACATGGAAGAGCTGGTGTCTGAAGTCTGGTGTGGAAGAATCTGCCTGCACAGAGTCCTGGCATCAACTCAATAGAACACCTTTGTGATAAGAGGATCATCACAAACAGCAGAGACTGCAAAGCAGGCCTTCTCCTCCAACATCAGTATCTGATCCCACAAATGTGTTTCTAGGGTGAAGAATTCCCATTAACACACTTCTAAATTTTGCAAAGAGCCTTTCCAGAAGAGCTGAAACTGTTATAGCTTCAAATAGTGGGCCCTATGGATTAAGCATGGGATGTTCCTCAAGTTCATATGTGTGTGAGGACAAATGACCGAAAAGGTCTCCTGATAAGCTCAGAGAAACATTGCAGACACTGGTTACACATAGATTACCCTCCAGCAGAGTTTATAGATTATAAGAGATTACCCTTCATATAAACTGTCTTACATAAATCGTATTCTTATATCTAATAGAATAAAAAAATGTAACAGTTTAAAATATTACAATTTGAAGAGATGAGTTTATAGGAACAGGCACAGGTTTACAGGACAAACTGAAGGCCCATCCCTCAGCACTGCACCATTCTTTGAACACCTCACTGCTCCACTACTGCAGCCTTGTGAAAAGACTGTGGAAGGCTTGTGTACATCATGTATCCATCCAGGGCAAGTGCCAGGAAGCGCTGCCAAATAGTTCAGTACTTGAAAGCTTGTCTAACAAAGAGTGCCACACTGAATCACAAAACATTATACTCAAAGACCCTTCCTGGAGGCAGAAATGTTGTTGGCCAGTACAGCAGAACAATTTGTCCGTTACACTTGCCTCAAACACACTGTTACCAAGACTCCAGGGTGCTGGTTACCCATGGGAAACTGAATCAATGATCGAAAGCACTGAAGCAAATGATGGCGCAGGCTAGTAGAGGAGGGTGCCAGAGTGGATTCTATTTGACTTAAGGGATTTTGTCTTGGACATGAACGTGATGGAAATTGTTCTGCAGTCTGCACAAGGCCCTGCAGCCAGACGCTCTCTAGAGTCTGGATTTAATTTGTCTGTAGTTTCTGGGGTAATAGTGACAATTTTGTATTTTAATATAATGTCACACAAAAACAGTCATCATCCAGTGACAACCCCAGCTGACAAACCTAGCCCTATGTGACTTAGACCTCACAGAACAAGGTCCAAACATGGTTACACACAATTAATGGGCATTTCTATAACACGTTTTAAACGTGATGTTCAAAGCTCCACATGAAAGCTCTGTATTATATCTATATCTGTTTCCACCTTACCACCACTTATCACCAGTTAACCCTGTGAAGTCAAAGTCATCGTCAACGATGACCCTAAACATAAGTGTATGCTTTTACATGTGTTCATTTAGTTCCCACGTGAAACTGTGCTCCAGGGTTAACCTAACCTTCTGACTATGGGAGGAAACCAGAGCAATGAGCCAGGCACCACTAAGATTCAAACCCAGAACTTTCTAGCTTTTCTAGCTGTGTGCTTTCATTTCATTTAGGTTAACCCTGTGATGTCTAAGTTCTCATCACTGATAGCCCTAACCTAATCATGTGTGTCAGACAGGCAGATTTACCGGACATATCTCCAGAAGGTAGGCCAGGTACTGAGACTCCAGCCGAAGTCTGCCACAGTGGACAGGAAGTTACAGACTGACCTCAACTACAGAAGGTATACCACAGCTGTGATGTGGAAATCCCAGTGGATAGTAACTTCAGGAAGAAGGAGTACAAAAAATACATAAGTACCAGGGCCCGAAGGAATAACTGGAGCAAATATGGAAGGTAAAGTCTAAAGTGGCCAAGTGGTAATAGGACCAGTAGGAGTTGTGACCCCGTAACTGGAAGAATGGCTCCAGCAGATTCCAGGCACATCAGAGGAACAGCTAAGATACAGCAGAGCCCTCAAACTCTCAGAGGACCCAAGCTAGAGGAACAAATACCAACACCCAGGGGATGAGGGCAATTTTTTTTGTCATTATTTAAATTTCTCCCAAGTCTTTTCAGCTGTGAGATTCTGTATGGACATAGATGGAATTTACCTCATATCTCTGGCATATGAGGTGTGGATGTGGTTCATGCAAAGACTATTTATTGATTCAATAAGTATCAGATTTTCAAAACACAACTGATAATATACCTTCCTTACTGTTCAAACTACTTTGACTACAGGATAGAAGAGACACTGAAAATACTTCAGCTGACAGACTTAACCCCTTAACTTCCACCAGGTCACTAGTGAGCCACATAGGTGTACAATTAATGTTAGGCTGCGTTTCTGCCACATCCTAAACAAGCACAGTTTCAGAAACTAGAACATGCTATCCTCAATCTATCCATAACAGGTCACTGGTCAGAAGACTTTATGTTGACTCTTACAGCTTTCTCCTTCCTCTCAGTATTTCCACAAACACTTATAGATATCCTTGATCCTCATTGTGTCAGTATGATAAAGTCACCATAGTTCCATTATACCACCCCATGGTATGTGGGTGTGTACTGGGTTTCGACAGGCTGCACGAATCACAGCAATCATCATTTGCCAATCTGTGCTTTTTCAAAGTGCGATCTGGGATATCAAATTATCTCAGACAGTTGGAGCAAACACAGGAATAAAAAACACTCCTGCCAACAGAGTTCTGCTCTTCACTCATGTAAAAGGGTTACAAATGAAAGATTTTTGTAAACCATCACAGCAGCAGGGGCCCTGAACTTTAGCACTAATACAGCAATCGTCAGAAATCCTGATGGAGGCTTGGAACATCATTCTTTTTGTCTTTACTTTTAGGACAACACGTCTAACATGTCCATCCAAAGTCTACAGAGTTACATCGTAATCCCTAATGCAGTATGGTAGTACGTAATGTGTTTCGCTCCCCACAGATAAATCCCACTATGTTAGACACCGTTTGATGCTAGAAATTAAAATCTTATGTTACTGAAGCACATGCTGCCCAGTGATCTCATATCATAATGACACAACCCCACTGCATCATTATTACCAGTTAATACCAGTTGTTTTTCTTTAACAGCTGACGGATTTATTAATACTGTACCTGGTGGGAAATGTTCATTGATAGACCAGTTATCCACCTGCAGTGTAGCGTTGCCACCATTTCTGGTGAAACGGACAACGTGATACTTCCCATCATTCACTGGGGTGCTGCTTTCCTGCACGCTGATATCCACTGTGCCGATGTTGAAGGTCACTCCAATTTTGCCTTGTTGCTGAAATGAGAGTAAAGAGTTATTAAACAGGACGTGAAACACTACACATATAAAGGCTAATTTACATCACGGAGCCCTGCTCTCAAAATCTGACTGTTTGGCTAGCTGCACTCCAACGGTAAAATCCGCCTGTTAGCCATAATGTTTGGGTTTGTAAAGCACTTTATGAATGAGGACTGTGTGGAGGAGAGCCTGTTTGAGCCAAACAGTACTACATAACAGGTTACTACATGCATATCACACCAAAGCTGCGTCTTACCAAAGACGACTGGAAATCCTAACATCCATCAACATGTCTGCAGGGGAAAAAATCTCCACGTTACAGTCGGGCTTTGCATTTCTTAAATTGTAATAAGAAGTAATCCAGTCAGTGAGATGACGTGAGGGGGGGAAAGTGCGGCATCTCTTCCTCTGAGCCTTCTTTTTTTTATTTTGGCTTGTGTTTCTGGGCCATTGCACACATTGACCTATTTTCCCTGCTGACATACTGCTGATGGGATTCCCGGTCCAGCTTCACAGACAGTCTTACATCTATGTCAGTTTTTGAGAGCAGGGCTCAGTGATGTTAATTTCTATCAGTTTAAATATTTAGTGTTTCATTGTCCTCTGTGTCCCTCTCTTTTTCACAAGTAATGAGTTCTTGTATATATATATATATATAAAATCCACATATTGTGACAGCTGAAGCCTGTGGAACATGCTGGGGGATAAAACTATGAATCTACTTTACTGTAAAAAAGAAACCAAAAACTCAATAAAAGGACAAAAAAATCACAAATCATTCAAGGACAATATTTTGAGTTGAACTTACTATATGCAGCATGAGATAGTCCCCTAGACCAGGTGCACTGTCAATTCTGACTAAGATGCCATCTTTCAGGGAGGTGCTGAAGCCGACAGTCAACCTGTCCGTCCTGGTGCTTGGTCTCTCATTGGCTGGCCAATTGAATGTAATGAGGCCCCCACCTTTGCCAAAGATGTATGTTGTCCCCGCTGAGCAAAACAAGGAGAAATCATGAATTAGAAAATAAAGACCTGCTAACTGTAGATCTGCATATTTTCACTAAGTGTTGTAAATTGTATCGTGGTAGCTTTGAACAAGAAGTTGAGGTAACGTAATGTAGGACATGTTTACACTAAATAGAAGCTCAGCTTCAACGTGCTTACTAATGTACAAAGAGTGCCCACAGGTTCTGTGCTTGGGCTGCTTTTACCACCAGTTTTTTTAAAGGATCATAGGTTATGCTATTACCATTGGGGTCAGGAAGACTCAAGCAACAGACAGAGGACTATCAAAATAAAAGAGGAAGTTGTACACATGAGACCAGACTTAGATACGTGAACTTGACACACGTACTGGCGAAAAATAGCAGAGGTGGTAAAAGTACAGACATTCTGTACTCAAGTAGAAGTACAAGTACTAGTGTTAAAAATACTCCAGTAAAAGTTTAAGTACTGATTCAACTTCTTTACTCAAGTAAAAGTGAAATATTTTAAATGTACTGAACGTAAGTAAGTAGCTCTTTGGAGGACATTTCTACCAGCTATTTTTGTGAAACGTTAACTAAACCTTGTAATATTACGAGATGGAAAACCACATTTTTTTTCAGCATAAAATTTAATTCTGACAAATGTACTGAGCTTGGATCAGTTAAGTACAACATGATCAGCAGTGTTGGGGAGTAACGGAGTACATGTACCGCCGTTACGTATTTAAAATACAAAATATGAGTAACTGTATTCCGTTACAGTTACCGTTTAAACAGGTGGTATAATGGTATAAATAAATGGATTACACGGTGGTCTTTTCCTGTTTCATATGTTCAGCTATGCCCTCTCTGTTTTTGGTGATTCCACGCCGCTGGAAACCCAAACAGAAAACGCATTACGAGGCTCTAATGTCTGTGTCTCAATCTCGCGGCCCATGTCACCTCTACTTGCAGCCCGCATAATAACGTGAAGAAATAATTTTAAAAATTAATATTCAAAAACTGATTTAATATGAAGGCAATAGCAGAGTGTTACAGGCATCGCCCTAAAGCATGTAGCCTGATGGGCAGTGTAGTCCGTGCTGCAGGGAGACTGGACTGCTGTACCCGTTATGTGTCTGTGAGCGAGGGAGGAAAAGGAAAAGTAGGAGCTGTCACCGAGCAGAAACGGGAGCTGGAAGCATGTAAATATAATAATAACCACTGCAGCCAAGAAGAGAGCCTGACGAGCCCAGCTGTAAGTAAGCTGTTAAGACTCGACTGTACGCTGTGTTCGTGTTTTCCTCTGAAACAATAAGTTCTGTTGCAGCAGCCTTTCAACGCCTCTCTCTGTCTCTGCTAGCAAAGTTGACCCAGACAACAAAGTAAAGCTAGTTTTCAGCTACGAGCCGACACGAACCCGACGTATTAGCCAGAGGTCCCTTTACTACGGTTCGGAGCCGCGGACCTGTTTTATATACGCGCGAATAGTTTTCTAACGAGATCGCTGCAAAAAGTGCAGCCTTACCTAATGTCCACCTACTGTTACTCATTTATATTAAGATTTAAACATCTAGTTGGTGTTGGTGTGGAGAGTAACCTTCAGTAATGTAATAAATCACACAGCAATAGTACATCCATGTAGTTGTAAAAATCATGATAATATATTAAGTAATCCAAAGTATCCAGAATACATTACTCTTATTAAGTAACGTAACGGAATACATTACAAAATTTTGGGGCATGTAATCTGTAATCTGTAGTGGAATACATTTTAAAAGTAACCTTCCCAACACAGTAGGGAATGGGATTACAATAAGATTCAGCACATGGTGGAATCCTAAAAGTGGTTGCAGTGGCTCAGCGTGTGGAAAAGGATCACAAGTCACAATAATTTCTATCGAGAGCTCCAGTAGATTTTTTTAATGTACAGGCTGTGATCTGGGCTCTGAGGTTTCATGAGCTGCCCTGGAAGGTTTCCATACTCTGCATTGACAGGATACTGTCAGTATGCTTGTAGAGACTGCTGTCTTTATACTAGACAGTATGGAGTTGGAATGAAGGATCTGGTATACTTGACGTAACTGAACTCTGACCATGAGCTCCACAGCTACTGTGCACCAGTCCAACACAGCACTTTATTTTAAATCCATCACAGCAATTCAATTCAATTCAATTTTGTTTGTATAGCGCCAAATCACAACAGCAGTCGCTTCAAGGCGCTTCATATTGTACAGTAGATCGTACAGCACGGCGAACTAATCGGTTTATCCTGCACTAACCTGCAGGTTACTTTCATGCAACCTTTAAATAACACAGTTAACCTACTGTGCTATCAGTAACGCCCCCCTCCAACAGCCAAACCCATCTGTTCTCTGATTGGATTGTTAAATTTGTGATTGACATGACATTGAGTCAAAGGAGCTTGCAAAGAGCTTGCATTGAGACATGACATTGACCAATCAGCTGAAAGGAAGAAAAATCAGGTCAAAATTTGTATGTGTAAGTGTAAATCCACATGCAGTCAGGGAACCTGAGTTTTACATGGAGTTTTTTGCTTTGTAAGCAGACCTTAACAAAAAAATGTGTAACTCGTGTAAATATTTTTTACAAACACAAATATTCATCTGTAAATGCACAAACATACATTTTCATATATTTTGGTTTACAAGGTTACAAAACTCAGTACACAAATACGCATTTGATTTACAAGTACAAAATATTTATGACCACAATCTGAGCTTTAGCTGCAACACACTGTGCAACAAACTCGGTTTGTGTGTTTGCTGATGTTTGTTAAGCTGATAGAAATGCTGCATTTAAAATGACCTGACACTTAAAAAACGTTACTCACTTTATGCTTGCTCCTCTTTTGTGGGGCTAGCTAGATGCTGAAGATCCTCAACTACAGTGTTGTGCCAAAAAACACCCCCAAAAAACCCAAATCCCTGACTGTGGCACATGGTTTTGCCTCTATCCATGTGACATCCCTGGTGACTGAATAACCAATAGGACTGTCTCTCATGTGTTACTGTTTAGGCTGTTTGATGTTTGAAGGCCCACAGTGACATTAAATAATAACTCCCCTCAAATGTGTCAAACCAAAAGTAACAAGCCTATTTTGAAAATGTAAGGAGTAGAAAATATAGATATTTATTATTTATTGTTTAAAAATTTGAGAGTAAAAGTGTAAAGTCAGCAAAATAACTACTCAAGTAAAGTACAGATACCTGAAAATTCTACTTAAGTACAGCAACTAAGTATTTGTGCTTTGTTACTTCCCACTTTTGAAAAACAGACATGAAAACATGACTGATAAAGGGATGAAACACAGAGAAATGATCACAGGAACAGAAAGGATTAAACACAGGGACCAGACGGGAATGGAGACATGACTAGGGAGAAGAAAAGGAAACAAAACACAGAGACAAGACACACAGATGAGACTGTGACAGGGTGGACAAGAAAGGAAACTAACATAATAAAACAACAACTAAGAACTAGACATAACAGAAGCAGTTGAGCGGGGGTGTCAAAGTCCAGTCCTCGAGGGCCGGTGTCCTGAAACCTTTAGCAAGACTCTGTGGAAGTTGACTGAATGCTGAGGTGGCAACCCCTAACCCTTCAAGTAAATTTAAATAGATGTAACTAAATGTAAGTGTTTGGGAAAATGTACTTCTAAAAGTACTTTTATCGCACCGTGTTCATTCACTCATGAGCTGCTGTAACATGAATCAAATGGCTGAACTGCAACATGTTCAAGTTCTGTGTTGACCTTTCTTGGTTCTGGTATGAAGTATATGTGAACCTTTGTACATATTAAAATGCTAATGCTATGTAAACATGGGAAATGTTATAGATCTCTATGTGGCTGGTTTGAAAGAGGAGTGAAAGAAGCATCTATGTCCACTGTGAGCGACCATCTTTGAACAGAGGCGGTGGTTCACGACACCAACTGTCTGCCATCTATAATCTAGTTTTCAGATCCTTCCCAGACGCCTTAACGCCCACTCACATCCTGGGCCATCTGCCTCAGGACATCACATGATAGGGTGGGGCCAGGTTTCACAATGAGCTCACCCGAAACCCTGGCTGATTGGGACCCACACCGGCTTTCACACCTTGGCTCGTGTGATTAGGTAGAGGATCATTATGGGGTCCATTGACCCTCTTGGGGGGAAACTCAAATCTGGGACTCTCCACCTAGAACAGAAGAAGCTTCTCGGATGAGAGGTGAAACGTCTTCAAGCAACTTAAAGAAGTCCAGACGCTTTTCTTTCAAACTCCTTAGACTACGATGACCTGGATGACTGAGAACCTTCACAGACATCTCCATGTGTCTACAGATATCCTAAATACACAATCTGGGATGGTGTCAGAAACTGCATCTTTCCCTGGTTTAACTGGACACAGAGCCCTTTGTCTTAATCCCAGCAGAGAGTGGCTTTACTGACATGATATTTTGGGGTTCAAACAGACTGACGAAAACATTTAGAGCATTGATTAAGTTATAGAAGGTGGTGAAGATGAGCTACATTGCTATATGCTTGCTTTATGTGCATTTGTACATAAAAACACTGTCATGTCAGGCTGGTAGTTTAATTGTGTAGCGTGTACTGAACTTGCGCTTTGGCTTAGTGAACCACAATTTCATCATCTCGGCTTGAATTTCATAGTCTATTTGAAAGTACAGTATTTGCTTGTCCATCTGTTGTGCTTTAGTCATACCAGATTAAATCTAAGACAGTGTGGTCTGATTCAGACTTGCTGTGATCATTAAACAGAGTAGCGAAGGCAATGCTCAGTGGCAGACATCCAATTGTCCAAGAATTGGACAGCAGCAGGCCCTGACATGGTTCACGTCTACTGGCTGAAGAAGGTGACTGCACTCCATGACTGTCTGGCAGTACACATGAACCAGCTGCTAGTCAATGAGAGACACCCAGAATGGCTAACTGAAGGCTGGATAATTCTGATTCCCAAAGACCCCCAGAAGGGACCAGTCCCATCCAACTACCAGTCAGT